TATTAGGTTTAAGATTTGGGTTTCTATCATAGGGGTGGTGGGTTTTGGGTCACATGACTATCCCGAGGTTAAATTCCCATCATCAACTCTCAGCATGTGTTTCTGTTGGCTCCAACCTCTGGTCGGCGGGCCTGGTTTGTGTCAGAGTCAGTCTGACTGAGGTCAGGACAGTCATTCAGTCTGACTGACACAACAGTCTGATGGACTGTTCATGACTGTAGACTGGTTAATATTGTTGAGGACAACCACTGGACTTCTTACCTAGGCATCGGGTGTGTCCCTCCGCCGGCTCATATCCTGGACGACAGGCACAGGAGGTGGTCGGCTGTCCCACCCACTGACCGTCCTCCCCGCAGAAGAGCTTGGGCGGACGGGGTCGAGGGCCCTGCTGGTCCGCGTGCTCCACACACACACCTTGGGCCTCCTGCACCAACGTACGTGGTATCGTCACGGGGAAGGAGGAGAGGGCGGTGACCAGCGGGGGGCACTTCTTGAAGAACACTCTGACGGACAGCAGGGCCATGCAGGCGCCCTGAGCCTGGAAGGCCAAGTAGAAGCCTCTCTTGGAGAGAGGGCCCAGCCTGAGGGTCTTTACGTTGAACTTCCTCTCCCCGCCCTTCCTCAGGAGAAAGTCTGCAGCCACCGTGTCCACCTACGACAGGAAGGAGCAAAGAAAGGAGCTCAGGTTGAAGCCGGTGCCAAACTCGCAGCAGTTGAACTTGATGAGCGTGGGGCCGGATGGTTTCTGCATGTTTTAGTCATTTATGTCCATTAACCAAACATGGCATATGCTTTACATTATTGAACACTTTCCAAAGCACACCGCTGTGACTTCAGATTGATTTACTACCTTCCCCAAATCCATTGTTTCTCATTTGTCACACGGAGCTTTGAACCTCAACAAGCCGGGACAGGAATCTGGCTGGAAGGACGGGCAATTCATCACAATGAACATTTTATCCCTATTTTATTCCTCTGTCAGAGTTACATTATTAAGTGATAATGAAGTTGAGGAGAGCGAGCCGTTTTCTGAATCGTCTCCTGGTAGCCTGGTGTGCGTTTGAAGGATGCGGCGATGCCAGAGGACGGACACGGCGATGCTGTCAACAACGTTACGCATCAGCCCAACAACACGACGGTTGTTAAACCCAATGAAAGCACAGGCGAGGAGGGGGAGGCTCTAAAGACGGTCCTCACTCCCACGAGACACTGTCATAAATTTGATATAAAACACATGTCACACAATAATGACCATAAAAATAACATTTGTGGAGAGAGACGCCGATGCTGAGACCAAATGGACGCGGGCCAAAAGGCAGCGGGACGGTACGAGGCCGACCCGCAGACTTACTGAGGCCGTGAAAAAGGAAAAGAGTCCACTGGGGTTTGATCACTTGTGGGTTTTTTTTTTATGCCGTCCGCTCAACATTCAACATCTGCACTTTATAACTTTTAAGGTTTGAAACTCAGTCCACGATAACCCCAGTGACATCAGCAGAATTCCGACGAATCAGTGGGAAGTTTGACGACGTGTCTTTTCTTTTCGTTTTTATCTGAATTTATTATTTCTGTCGCTCACTCTACGTTAACAGACGCTCACATGTAAGACATTAGTACTAGTTCATGCCAGGGTCGACGTACTGGATACAAAAAATACATATGCATCATAACTCAGATCGGACCAGTAAACATTAGGTTTGGCTACACTTTAAGAGCTCATAAAATTATAAAAGCTAGCGAAACGTGAAGCACAAACAGCTCAAAGTTTAAATGTGAAAATACATAAACAAACATTTATCATAGAGATTATTCAAAATAAATAAAAATGAAGTCAGAGATGTAACGATCGCAAAACAATAACCCAGTAGGTAAAAGTTTGTCCAGAAATAAGCGATTAGCGATAGCAACAATAGCTAAGAGTTGTCAAAGATTAAAACCAAAGAACTTAGGATTTAGCTATGAAAAAAAAAAGTTAAAAGGTTGCATGAGAAATAGTTAACGTTAGCAAACAGAAACCAAACACATGCTAGCTTAGATGTGACTTAGCTAAAAGTGAATTTAATACAAAAATGTTAAATGTTGGTGAGGAGATAGTGCTAGAAATTTTTTTGAAAAAAACAAACAAAACAAAAACAAAACAAAGTCACAAAACAGACTGAATTTAGCACTTAAATAATTCACGATTTGCTAAATCGTGGCTACAAAAGTTGGCCAAATTCCCTAGGCCTTTGAACAAAATCTTGAAAAGTAATCAACAGGACAAAAATACGCTTTTTAAAAAAATGGATGGCTCTACCTGATGGTCATAAAAAAAAAAAAATTGTAAGAACTGAGCTGTAGCCCCTGGGCTGGCCTCCGGTCATGCCTAATTTTAAGAACTGAGCTGCAGCCCCTGGGCTGGCCTCCGGTCATGCCTACTACAGGTTTTTATGTGTATATATATATAAAACAGACGACCGTATACGTCATCCAGAGTCTACACGTACGAAGGTCTTGTTAGAAACCTCACAGACGGGACATACCTTGGTGTATGGGTTTTCCATCCACGGTGGGTACGAGGCCGTGGCGTCGTTAGTGTCGGTCTGGTAGTAGTACAGGTTGAACGTCTCTTTACAGCTGCGGTGGTGAGTGGTTCTGGAAGAGCACTCCAACATGGTGAACCGCAGCTCCACATAAACCTGGGAGGCTCCCCCGCGCTGGATGAAGCCACTGCGAAGCCAGTGGCTGGGGGAGCTGTCGCTCTGGCAGATCTGGTAGGTCCTCACGCTGTTGTTCTCGTCATCCAAACCGCTGACTTCCTCCCACTGAGGAGAACGGACGAAAGAACAAAACACGTCAAGTTGAAGCGTCGACTGACACCTGGCGCCAAGAGTACAGAGTAGAGACTACAGTGTGTTTATAATTATCTTTGGCTTCGTGTTAAATGTCCTTCTCATCATAATGAGGTCTCACTCCTCTGCTGACTCTGGGCTGTAAAGTACCTGTCAGAAACCCCCCCCCCAACGCCCACCCCCGCGGGACAGAGTCTGGCCTTCTGTGGATTTGATCGGGACCAAATTTGAATCTGGGTTGTTAAATCATTCCTCCCACTGAGCTGCAGCTCAGTGAGTGGGAAGTCTCACTTGTCAAGCGGAGCATACTGCTGTATACGGCACCGGAGAGACAGACAGCTTTCACTGCTCACACACATTTTAAACTAAAAAAAAAAAAAAGATGAGAATTCAGAGGGGAACTTGACAGAGGACCTCTGCAGAACACTGCACACACACATAAAAAAAATATACAAATACGACTGATAAATACTTTCATGTTTGGCTTCTGAGCCGACAACAAACATGTTTGCCATCACCGACTCCCCCAAGAGGAGGAAATTAACATATTCAAAGGGCAGAATTTAGCAGATCTGCCGAACTACAGGCCGGGAAATGCAGTTATGTAAATATGTAAATCTTTAAAAATCCATTTGCAGATGACGTGTAGAGTGAGGCAGAATAGTGGCCTGAATGAATTAGAGAGCAGAGGAGAACCGAGAGGCAGGTTTAAAATCACTTGAAAGGAGAATTCTTCCTTCTAATCCTCCCAAAATAAATACCTCGGATTATGGCGTAACCTATTTCTGAAAGAAAAACGTTTTTGCTATGAAAAAAAAAAAAAAAAAAGATTCCCAGCGGTATCATTTGGATTTAGGCTGCAGTATGTGATAACATTACTGGACACTGTTTGGATGGAGTGACCTTGGTAAATAAACAAATACTTAATGACAGGGGGCGGTGTTGTTCTGATCTGAGTTCACCACCACCACAGACATTCAACTGACTTCTTAAGGCATGTAAACACATTCCACTGACTGAAAAAAAATATTTATGTTATTCATGCATTAGCAACTAGCGCATGCTCCACCAATAATTAGCACTGGTAGCATAAGCTAACATTTTTGGCGATTCCATAAACACAGGGAATCGAGTTCATTTCACTGGTAAACCAGCGAACATCAGCACTGCTAATGGCTAACAAACGTCCGCAGCAGTTGCTAGTTGCTAGCTAAGAATTAGCTAAGAGTTTCATCCTGAAGTAGCACAGAAAACATTAGCTGGTTTTAGCAATTTTTGTGTTATTATTTGCCACAGCATCGTGCTGTTAGCGGACTGTTTATGAGATTCGTGGAAAATGGAAAGCTGAAGGCATATTAAGTTGCTAGCAATCGTTAGCGGCATTTAGCGGATTACACTCATTATGATGATGACACTTGATGATGTTTGATGTTTTGTGTGGATCCAGTAAATAAAAAATATTTTCAGTAAGATTACCTGAATAAATAAGAAACAGCAAATAAAAAACCTTCCAGAGTTAAATAAAATATATATTCATTTGCTAAATTAACGACATCACAGAGCTGGTTAAGTTTAAAGAATATAACACAGTTTGAAACTTTCTTTTCATTATTGTTGGATACAGATGATCGTCAAGGCGTGAAATTATTTTTATGACATAATTTAAATAAATACCATTAGAGTTCTCTAATGAAAATTAGCAAAATATTTGATCATCTTCTCCATCTAAGTGTTTCTTAAACAGGAAACCAGAAACATGTCACACACACAGACATCCAGCAGACTAAATATAGTCACATGTTAATCCTTTAAAATCTTCAGTTTTGACGTCGACAGCTTGTGGCGTCTCCCCACTGCGGCCCGTCTCTATCGACTGAATCATTGTTTTATGCTTTGTGGTTTTAATTTAGTCTAACGCCGGGGCCACACTGGATGCATGACTAGTGCCGTGTCTGTGCCGTCTTGCTTCATTTAGACACACGTTTTAATAGATTACAGCAGCCACACAGCCGCTCGCCTCCGCGAGGCGCTGGGTCTTCTAAGCAGAGAGCTCTTGTCTATTTTTAACAGGGGAGCAGTGAATGGTTCAGAGTAAAAAAAAAAAAAATTGACAGCGAACATGATTGTTCAGCCGGGTTTTATTTTATGTTTTCCAGTTAGGTGTCACCAACACAACAGTGAAAATGAAAGTGACTTTCCATTTCCTTACATCCATTTATTTCCCTTCATTTTTTTTACTTCTGTGGACCAGCAGGTTTGACAGATTTAGACTGAATAGAAATTGATTTTTTTATTGTATTTTATTTATTGAGTTGTTTTGTTTTTTTGAGTAAACACAGTCCTTGTCCTAATTTAATTCTATATAATTTAAGATGTAACTAAAAAAAATAACCTAAGGTTTTACATATATATATATATTAGATAAATCTTCTAAATTATAATATAAATATATCATAAATATAATTTTAAAAAACATTTCCTGAACATTAAGTTTTTGTGTATTTTTTTTTAGTTTCCATAATTCATCAAGCAGACCTAATTGAAACCGCAAGTGTGCCAGCTTTGGCCTGCGGGCCTTATCTTTGACACCCCTGATGTATATATTAACCAAAGGCCTGTGTCTCAGGAAATTGAGATTAAATTATTGAGAGATTGAAAGCATAGCTATTTAAAAACATGGTGTCTGAGGGCGGAAAAGCAAAAAATTTAGAGTAATGACATTCAGAACCGAATCAGAAAATGTCTCTGTTAAACGTCTCAAGTCATTAAACTAACTGGGAACAATATTGTCCCGAGGTTTTAAATAGAAAAAAAAATTACAGAAAAATTAGTTCTGTTTTCATCTTTTTGGAATGTGTACACGTGACTGAAGACAAAATATATATACATATATATACATGTATACATATATATACATATATATAAACATATATATATATATACACATATATATATATATATACACATATACACATATATATATATATATGTTTATATATATGTATATGTATATGTGTATATATATATATATGTTTATATATATGTATATATGTGTATATGTGTATATATATATGTTTATATATATGTATATGTGTATATATATATATATACACATATACACATATATATATATTTTTTGTTTTGTTTTTTGTATATACTGGGATGAAATCTGACAAATGTAGAAACAGTAGTTTCCACCACAGTAGATGTTACCAAATCCTACACAGTGTCGGTTTGAAAAGCACAAACAGAGTTGTTGAACACTTCCTTAGTCTTTAAACATATTCTGACGCCAGTGAGGCTTCAACCATTTTCCTCCTAGACGTCACTGAGTAGAGCAAAAAAAAAAAAAAACACCCAAAAAAAACACCCTAGCAACCATTACTCCGTTGATCAAATTACAACTATGTCCTTTTTGGGCTTCTCTGGTTCAAATTGTGAGCGGCTCAGAGGTTGATGGATATATCAAAGCATCTGCTTCCAATACACTCTGAATCCAAGGCTCACTCAGGCGTTCCCTTTCCTCTGTCAGTTACCGGTCTTATAGGGAACTCTTTTATTGCCAACATAACAAAGGAACAGCTGGAAGCCAAAAATCCTCAGTCACCACAAGGTCTGCCTCAGGAATACAGATAACACAGAGGAGGAGGAGGAGGAGGAGGAGGAGCTGGAGTTTACATACCTCGGGTTTGGTGCGGGAATAGATGGTCCATTTCAGATCTGACGTCTCCGTCTTAGTGTTCATCAGGACCTCTGTGTGCACAAAAAAACAGGAAGTGTCATGTCAGAGAGTGGAATATGTCAAAATGACATTCACATTCAGAAGGAGTCACACATGTGACGCAGCAGCAGCAGCAGCAGCAGCAGCAGCAGCTTCTCCAGTCGATTACATCCACAGGAGCAATCATCACTATCCCAAAATTGTCTTCCCTCTCATGTTTGTTTTTATTCCCATCATGCCTCCTGTTCCCTCAGATATATGGAGGCTGTGGTCAAACTAAAACCCGCTGAAAAGACTCTCTGCTTTTGTCAAGGGAAAACAGAGGGGTGGGAACAGGGGGTATCGTTGTATATGAAAGATGTCAACCCCACCAGTCCACAGTATGGGATAACTGTTGAACTGATTGTTTTTGTAATCTTTTGTTGTTGCTCTGCTACAAATCACTGTCTCAGTATTTTCCTGAACAGTTTGTAACTCACACACTGTAAAACACAGACGTTGTTTTTGACACCAGCAGTGTCAAAAGTCATTTCGGTTCGGGGGGGGCAGGGGAGGGTCCACATTCGGCCTGATTCGATGCCAAGTGGGGTCGGACCAGTACGATCATAACATCATTATCTATAAATCACAATACGTCCACATGTTTCCCTGTTGTTTTCATGCAAAAAAAGTACAAATATATTGTCGTGTTTGTGCGTTTCCGTACCAGTTTTGGGCTCGCGGGCCGTATGTTTGACAGCCCTGTTCTTCACGGACATCACAGTCCCCTTTATTTCCCACCTGTACTGTATGATATGAGGTTTTCTCGGGTCTCAGGTCAGACCAATAAAAGGGTTTTACTGCAGCTCTGTTCCTCAATCAACAGGAAGGGGAGTTAAAGGATATGGGAGGGGTCGACGAGGGGTGGGGGGGCGGTCTGATTGAGAGTTTATCATCCAGGTTATTAAGATGTTTGGTTGAATTAAACTCGTAGGATGAGGTTCAGCTGTAAAGTCAGGAACACAAAACACCAGAAGTACAAACAAAAACACAAAGGCAGTTCCAGGGGAAAATGGAATCTTTTTGTGATGTATTTCCGACCCAACAGCAGTTTAATATGGTAATATATTTTTTTTCTTCCATGACACACAATTAAATCCGACAGAAGTTTCTCGCACAAAGAACATTACTGCATCCAAAGCCCAATTCAATTCATACTTTCGACGATAAGAGTGGTTTTTCAGCCGTGACCAGAACCACGTCTTCAGAAAACGCTCTGATTTCACTCTGGGCGAAAGCAAACTGTTGCTTTTTTGTGGCTTTTGTTCAGCAACAGTTTGTGCATGTATCCACCTCCAACATCTGCTGCTGAATTCGTGTTTATCTGATGTTTAACACAGATTCCGTGAACTCATCTCTGCGGTTCTTGCCTAATGACTTTTTCTTGAACAGGTTTAATAATAAAGCCTTCTTTTGTCAAGATCCAATTATGCTAGCGTACGCCCGCGGAGATAAAATGTGGTTATCTGCATGGAGAAAATGGTGTGAAAGGCTCGGAGTCTGGTCTGAAAAATCTCAGGTGAAAACACATTCAAACTATTCAACGCAACGAACAGAACGGCCGAGGTGTTGTCCGTAATCAACCTGCTCCACACCTCCTCCTGGAGGCAGGACGTGTTACAGACTTAAGAGCAGAAACTACTACATTTGAAGGGCAGTGGTTTCCTCCGGTTTCTGACATGTGCAAAGCAATAATTCACTTTCATTTTTGCCTTTATGTCGTGTCAATAATTACAAGTTTTAGAGGCTACATTTGGTTTTGTGGACGCAGTCACCTAGTGGTTAAAACAAGTCCTACTCAACAGAATCAGTAACGAGAGACCGAGTTATAAACAAAAAAAACCAAAGCTGTTTCAAAATCCTCTTATGTTTATGTTTAACGTAGAGTTTTTTGGCAGCCGTTAGCCTCTAGCCTTAGCTGCTAATATTCTCAGTTGTGTTTAATAACGCGAGTTAGGAAAATCTGCGGTCTTGCCAAACTAGCAGATAAGAGAAATGATCCATTAATTAGTCGATGTTAACAACTACTTTATCCTGCCTTAACACAGGATTTTTTTAAAAAATAATTAGTTATTGTTCTGATATTAACTATGCATCACAACAATAATAAAGTCGTCGCCTCACCAGACCTATTACCATTATTAAGAGCCATTAACGCAAACAGAAAACTCGAGAAACTCAGTGTCAAAAGAATTTTAAAAACACTCCACCAGAGGGCGACCTGATGAGAGACAGCGACCAAAACTACTGTTACAATCACACTCAGCTTTTTTTTTACCTGCAAATAAATACATGAGATTTCATTGACTCTAATACAATATTGTACTATACGTCTGTATATGAGATACAATATTGTACTATACGTCTGTATAATGAATGTACTATTCCAACCATAACATAAAGTGCGGTACTACATCAACAGTGATACATTTCTAGCCCCATCGCTACAGTATCTGCTTATAAGATACCCACGCACGCTAATGACACCTGGCTGATCCTGTTACCTGTATCCAAGTGTCTGTTATCTGCTAAATAAAATGAGCCCTAATGACCACGGTTTGGCTCCAGTGCCAACACCACCCCCCCAACCTACCCCTCACCTCCCTCTACGACCCTTAACAGGATAAGCAGTTGAAGATGATGGATGAATGGACGATCGCCGTGACTTGTGCGTGGGTTGTAAAGAAGAGATTTTCCAACGGCCTATGAATACATTCCGCACACAGAGACTTGTAGTATTTTAACAAAAATAAATGCAACGCCCACAGTTACTAATCTCCGTGATCGGGAGGAAATAAGAGGCAATCATATTTACCACTTATCTGCCCACATCCCAGGGAGACACGGGCAAATGCACAAAGACAGATGTTTTGTCTGAGGCTGGCGTCAGAGTTTCATGGTTAATTGCTGGTTTGAGATCTGATAATACAGACGAGTGTGGACTGGTCAGAAAATGTGCACTCCAAACTGGAATATAAAGGGATGTGTTGTTGTTGTTGTTATGGTCTGTTTGTTTGTTCCACTGTTTCCTTCTCTGTTTCAACAACAATAAAACCAAACCACATCACAAATCACATTTTCTATTAAATTTAGTGCACAACAACAACACCTTCCTGTTTCCTGGTGATACTGCTACAGTACCTCAGATATACTGCAACATCTTTACTGCTACACACCACACTAACATTTTCATGTAAACAATAACTATAAATAAAAATAAAAAAAACATTAAATGTGACGTTCTCCGCAATTGTCTACAGTTTAATATCTGGTTTTAGACTTTCTAGAATCAAGAATTCTGCAGAACATCTTGACTTTCTGTGTTAAAACCTACATCCTTCTTCCCAGGCTCTTTATTTATTTCACACTCATTGATTGGGAAAATTGTCTCCACAACAACTGGTTCCAGACTCAACTCTTGGACCCCGGGGTCCAGCGCTAGGTGCCATAGCAGTTAGGGGCCAGTCAGGATTTAAGGACCAGAGACACAGAGGTATGCAGTTATATTCCAAACCCAGTCCGTCTGGACGGTAACTTCCTGCTACAAACTACTCTGGAACAACCGCCGGGCACAGAGTGGAACCTGGAGACGGACCCAGACCGGTCTTGTTGTTGTGAACCAACTCTCAGTTACCACCGGTGTCCGGGCGTGAACCCACACCTGCCTGATAAAGGTCTCGCACCAACATGTTGTCAATGAAAGTTGGACAGCCTGCAGGATTTGTTTTGTCTCTGCCAAATGCTCATTTGCAGCAGTGACTTCAATGAACGGTGATGGCTCATTCAGGCTGTTCTCACACTCACACACACACACTCTTGTTAGGACTCTGCTCAAATCTCTCAGCTTTATCTCTAACCCTGATCACAACCGGTAATGCTAACAGGAGCCGCAGCTAACAGGAGGTCCAATTCAAATCTTTGTTAAACCTCTGAAACCTCAGGAATTATGTTCAGCCTCATTAGCTGCAGTGCTTGTTCCCCCATGAGGAACAGTGGTCCAAAACAAAGAACTACAACGTTGGAAATAAACGGTCTTAACACGTAGATGCATCGAGACTCTCCTTCTTATTGTTCTCACAGTGAAATGATACTAATAAGATTTCCTCTCTTCACGAATAAGGAAAATGTAAGACAAATTAATTGTATCCCTCTGTACTCCCACATTTCTCTTTCTTTCTGTCTCGTTTTATTCTCTCTGATTGCGAACCTCCCGGAAAATAAAAAAACACAAACATGCTTTTTCACCCTCCTCCACTTCACAACCGCAGCTTCCCAATGGCTTTTTTAACAAGAATCTGAGACAGGTGATGAAGAGGAAGGAGGGGAAAAAAAAGCAGTATATAAAGAGCAGAGAAAAGGAGGACAGAGGTGGAGGAGGACGATAATTGGGTGGCACAATCCAGGCCAGCGCTTCGCCTGCAAAGAGGCTGCCTCCAGTTCACTCCAGCATAATTTAAAACACCTCCATTATGGCGGCGAGGCTGCAGTACAAAGAAGAGATCTTCCTCCACCTTTCATATGCACACACACCTGTCTGTTTTTCATGGTGAGTATTTTTTTATTTATTTTTTTCTAAAGAAGTGGGAAAGAAACACTGAGCTCCAGGCCTTGGTAATCACTGTTTATCGTCGCTCTATCATTAAGGTTTATGAGACAGGATGTGTGAGCGTGAGTGTTTCTGTTATGTGCATGCACAGCCTTGCCTTTCACTGAACTCGACTCCAGCTCCAGTCCTGTCGGAGGAAGCCGGCGCTTCCCCTACATTCTTTCGGCAGAGGTGACCACCCACTGCCGGAAAATTGCCCTGAGTGCTAGAAAAATGTACAAACAATGAAAACTCGTCATCTGGTCGTATTTAAAAACCCAAAACAAACCGTAGTACAGTAATTACTGTACAATTGACTACAATAACAGACAGCGGAGGAGTTCAAGCTGAACAACTGACGCTGGCGGACACGAACCAGTGTTGACCCTCGGAGGCATCGTTATTAAA